ATGGAGAGAGCAGAGCGAGGAGAATCGAGGCGGACGTACATCGCTCGCCGTTTGTCTGGTGGAGGAATGCAGAACTAGATCGAGTCGAGTCGAGCAAGGGTTGGACAAGAAAGAGCGTGTTGAACGTTGAAAGCTCGATTTCTGTTAGAGAGGGCAGACAAGGATACTGTGCGTGATTGCGTAGGATGCAGCTTAGACTAATGTAATCCGGTTAACGGGCGTAAGTTGCATATTTTGGTTTTATTTTCATTTTATTTTCTTGTTTTTGCCAGGCGGAGAAACAAAGCTGGATGCAGCCTCTCGTCGCAACTTCCATCTTTTTGAATTCAACGCTCTGGGGTCACGATCCCTGCCTTGACCCTTTTGGTTCTCCGCATCTATCTCCCTCAGTCTTGCACGCTCGAACCCACAGACGGCTGGCTGGCTGGCTGGCTCATCCAACTGTCAGCGAAGACGTTGACATCCAGCCTGCCGAACACAAAGGGCTGAGACTGACTGGCAAGCCACTGCAGTCTGCTTGGTGCATCACCGTTCACATGCTGATGAAAGCCTCTTGAAGCCACTCTGTACAACAATGACATGCTTCCAGCCTCGCCGGTACGAGCCTCTTCTGGAGCTGTCAAAAGGGCTTACGAGATGCAGCGAGTAGCAGTGCGGACGAATTGGTGTGGGCAGTTACGCTGGAAGGTCGCGAAACTACCATCTCCAGGAGTTGAACGAAGAGGTGTGAAAGCCTCCGGCTGTAGCAGGCAAGATTTGATCTTATTTCCAGATTTCGGCCGTGTTCTTACCTTTCACGTTCAAATGCACGCCTCCGAGAGGTATTATGTTCGATTACTAAGCAATTTCAGTGAATTGTTAGAGCAGCATTGGGCACATCTCAAAATATTTTCTCCTCCACATGTGAGTGCTCTGCGGAGTGCCAAAACGACAAGCTGCTCATCCTTCTGATGTCGCCTCGCCAAGGGAGCATGTTGAGGTCATTTATAGAACCAAGATTCATGCTCACCCTGCATACTCGGGTTTGTGCCCTCGGCCTGGCCCAGACGTGGTGGCTCGGAGGAGTCGCCGTTGCGAAATGCTGCTGCCATCTTTCGGACGACGAATCATGAGCAATGCTTTATGACTGTAGCTCAACACCGAGCAATAGCTTGCTTTTTCGCAAAGCGGCTTGACTTGGCACACGAATGAGGCTGCTCTTTTCTTTTGTGAGCGCTTATAGAGCTTTTCGAGCTACACAGCCTCAACGAAAGCATTCTCGGGTGGATGATCAATCGAGACCGCCGCCGGCTCTCCTACCTACAATCTCATCCTCGATGGTCGCACAGACCAACATTATTTTGCCCGCAATAGCATTCAGTCTTGGATCTTGAACTCGACATTCGATCCTCTCCACCATCCGCAACAACCAGCACCTGCGTACTACACATCACTAAACACAATGCCAGCCCATCCTCATCTTGGCTACATCAACCCAGGTGAGCATTTGCCCGCGTCCATGATTGCCGTTGATCATTTTCGCCTGACATGTGCGGTTGCTATCGACACATTTCTTGAATGCCTGTGAATAGTTGTTGGCCACGACTTTGCCGACCCTGGTGTCTTTTTTGATCGCCAAACACAGACATGGTACGCTTTCGGCACCAACGGCAACGGCAAGAACATCCAATGCTCCTACACCAAGGACTTTTGCTCGTGGTCCCACCATGATCAGGACTGTCTTCCTGGTCCTCTTCCACCTTACCAGTCCGGCGCACCAGTGAGTAGGTATGCAGCAGCCCCAACAAGCTTGTAGCGCCCCACAGCTGACCCCTCTCTGCGATTTTCCGTGACACGACAGGGCTTCCTTTGGGCACCTGAGGTGATCGAAGCTCCACAAGGCCGCGGCGGCTACCTCATGTACGTCTCGTGTCAAGACGCCATCCACAAAAAGCAGTGCATTGGTGTTGCCTACTCGGACCGAGACCCAAAGGGACCTTACCGATGGATCACTGACCGTCCGCTCATTTCGAGAGTAAGTTGCAAACACTTGTTGCTGTCTTGCAAATCGATCGACGTTGTACTAATCGACTCGGTCATTCTCGTTCTGCTGTTGCACAGGGTGAGACTGGAGGCACCCTCGACCCGCAGCCCTTCCAAGACCCTGCCAGCGGTAGGCGTTACCTTGTTTACAAAGTAGGTCTCTTTCATGTTCAGCTAAATTGCAGACGCAGAATGCTGACCTCCATGTGCTCTTGATTTCCTCCTCTGCTCAAAGTCGGACTGGGACCGCATGTACACCGAGCACCCGCAATTATGGCTCTCGGAGCTCTCTCCCGACGGCTTGTCCCTTGTTGGCGACATGCACCCACTCCAAGGCCCCAAGCACGGCTACCAATGCGGCCTCCTCGAGGCGCCCTACCTCTTCCACCATGCGGGTAGCAATGCCTACATCCTCTTCTTCTCCTCGGGCACCTTCACCAACGGCACCTATGCCACATCTTACTCGATCTCACACAACGGCATTTTCGGACCGTACAAATGCCCGCCCAAGCCACTCCTTGAGACGGATCGTCTACGCAGCGTTATGGGTCCCGGCGGCGCCTGTGTGATACGAGGCGTCGAAAACGAACACTTTATCATCTTTCACGCGCTCGAGAGGGAAGAAGGCAACCGAAGGATGTGTGTACAGCGCATCTGCTTTGAAAGCGACGGAACGCCCTATCTCTCATCCAGACCAAACTGTGGAAAGAGACTGCGGTTGGGCGCCGAACATGAAGACGATCTGAAGCACTTTGGCAATCAGCCAGCTCAGCCAGCCCTAGTCCATGAGGAAGGGCATGGCCACGTCAAAGGAGGCTCCAAAGTGTCCAAACTGTTGCGCAAAGTCAAGAACAAGCTTGATTCGGATTCCTCCGATTCTGACTAGCTCACGATGACTCGTTGCTTGTCTGTATACCATGCCCATATCACAGAATCGCACAAAACATTGTACCAAAAGCTTTCTATTGTTGTCGTATTGGGCGAACATGGAGTGGGTATCACCAGCCAAGACCGTATTTACATTGCCACATGGCGCGTGGTGTGGGCTGTTTGGCTGAGGTCAGAGATCTCCAGGTTCCTGACTCTTGTTGTACGGAATGAACTCCTGGGACGTGAATTGCATCCTTCCCACTCTTTTTCATTTGGATTCCCATCGCTGGGCTGTCAGGATCACGAGAACCATCTCTGCCATGCCGTAGCGAGGCGACCCCACGAGTAGAGGAATGTCCAGATACCGGTTGCCGAAAGGATGGGAAGAGAAAGGTTATCGTCCACGCCTCCGAGCTCGAGTCCTTCGGCAACGCCGGCAACGATTCCAGATCCCAGGCTGAGGAGCCACCATGGCATGCCAGGTACATCGTTATGAAGGGACAATGCATCAGTGCCGAGCTTGCCCTTGGCGATGCTGTCGGATCCCAGATATTGAGCCGAGAGACCCGAAGCTCCAGGCAAGAGACCAGCGCCACTCTGGCCTCGGAAGCCAACCGAGAGACCCTCCCAACCAGTGCCTGTAGCACCAGCAACGCGGTCAGTGCCAAAGATAGCTGGGTGAGCGTAGCCCGAGCCGGACCATGAGATGCCATTGGTGCGCACGCCAGCAGAGGCAATTGAGGTGCACCAGAAGAGGTACGAGGTGAGTGCACCACTGATGATAGCTGCGAGGAAGCCGGCGGTGGACTTGCGGCGAGCAAAGGGCGGCGACGGGAGAGGCGGAGTGTATGGGCCCAAGGCCCTTCCAAAAGTGGAGGCGCAGGTGTCGCACCACGAGAGGATCATGATTGAAACACAGGCAATGTCCTCTGGGAAGAAGTGGAGCGAAGTAATGACACCTACGAGGTACCACACGACACCGTTGACCTTGTCCTTTTCCGACTCGCGCATGAGGAAGCCTAGGACCCTCTCGTAGATCTTTTCGAAATCATCGTTATTGAGGCGGATCACATCGGCCGTGACGACAATACCGAGGAAGTAAGAGAGGTTGCGCACGATGACGTTGAGATCAGTGCCAGAGAGGTAGAGGTGAAGCACCATGAATCCGATCGAGCTGTGAAAGATCTTGCGTGGGATCTCCCAGCTCTTCTTGCTAGCGGGTACCACATGACCATTGGATCGCGATTTGGACACAGAGCCACTGGAAACGCGCTTCTCAGCTTGAGGTCGGCGTCGTAGACTCGAGGCATCGCCTTTGCCGTCCGCCGTGCTGGAATCCTGGGCGGTCATTCCGGTGGCAGCTGCTGCGTCTTGCACAGGCGTTGTGAGGCTTGCTGGATCGGTCTGGAGAACAGAGCTCCTTTCGAGCATCTCACGATCAAAGTCGGACTCGGCTCGTGAGAGTGCTCTTAGCACAGCGGCGCCCTTTTGCAGCGAGGAGGAACGCTGGCGTGTTACAGTCTTGCGGGTAGGGGGAGGGGCGTTGCCGTTCTGCGATGCTGCGATGGTGGAGGAAGAAACGCCGATGGGAGGAGGAGAAGAACGTGGCGACTCGGCGAGCACCTTTGCGGAAGGTCGGGACGACATTATTTTTCTTTCCCTTTGACGACTGGCTTACCGCTGCAGATTGAAAAGTTTGATGGCTGCACGAGGATGCACGAACAATCGTGGAAGGGTGCAATTCGGATCGGATCTTTGGCCGGTCGGCGATGTAGGGATCCGGGTAGAAGTTTTCCGTATGGAGAGCGTCTTGTGCGTTTTTTATTGACTACCGGAAGGACGAGGAAACGATGCGCAGATGAAGGTGAAATGCAAAGGTGCATGGATGCTGCTGAGTCCAAGATGATGGCTAACCTATCAGAGCCTGCTGTACTGTACTCTATCTATACTGAAAGTATTGCACGTAAATCACACACACGCACTTCTGATCAGTTTCGGTTGACTACGATCCTGGCTGTGCATGACGCGAATCTTTCGAAACAACGCGCCAGAGCAAGATAATGACAATATGGTGATGTACGCAATACTAGCTGAGCTTTTCATCAAGGAGCTTCTTAGCGCAGTAGGTAGCGCGTTGGGCTCATACCTCGATATGAAATTTACCTTTCCACCGCAAGGTGGTGTAACCCAAAGGTCGTCGGATCGAAACCGACAGAAGCTACTTTTTTTTGTTATCTTTTCCTTTTTTATTTTTTTGGGTTCCTCTTCTCTTTTATTTTATCTTCTATGCTGTTGGAGCTGTGCAGCCTGTCAAGCGCGAGCACCGGCGCTGCAACACCATGGCATAACAAAAACGTGGATCGCTGCAAACTTTCTAAAAGCAAGGCAGAGCTCGAGTCATCCCGACATTCTTGTAGCTTTACTAGCTCAGACTCACTTGCACAGACACAGAAGCGAGTATCAACTGACTGTAAAGACCCCTTTTTTTTTTTTCGCAAAACAGAAGACAAATGCTATATCGACATCAAGAGAGATAACCCTTGGCAAGAGCAATCTCTGCGTTCATCACGGAACTCGTAGCAGCGCCAATCATGACATTGTTCGAGAGGACGACAAATTTAATGTCAAATACAGGACACTCTCGCACCCTGCCGACATTGACACCGGCACCATTCTGCCAGTCACGGTCAAGACGGGGCTGTGGACGGTCCTGTTCCTGGTGCAATGTAATGGCCTGTGCAGGAGCCGAGTGGACGCCAATCTTCTGCGCTTCTGTAGTGAACTCCTCAAAGCACTTTTTGACCTCTTCTACCGAGGGAGCGGGTCGGTTCTTGAATGAGACGGAAACGCATTCCATGTGACCGTCGATGACGGGAACACGATTGCAGTGCGCCGAGACCTTGAGCGGATCCCGCTCGTGGTAGTCGAAGGCCGTCTTGTCCGACTTGATGCCGCCAAGGATCTTGGCCGTCTCCCACTCGATCTTCTCCTCTTCGCCGCTGATGAAAGGAACAACGTTGTCCAAGATGTCGAGCGACGACACACCGGGGTAGCCTGCACCCGAGATAGCCTGCATCGTATTGACCAGGATCTTGTCCAACGGTCCGAATCTTTCTTCGAGCGCTTTGAGCGGGACGACGATACCAGTGGTCGAACAGTTGGCGTTGGTGACGATGAATCCCGTCTTGGTGCCCACTTGCTGCTTCTGGTAAGGCAAGATCTCCATGTGTTCCGGGTTCACCAGCGGCACCACCAATGGGCAGAGTGGATCAGTGCGGTAGTTTTTGGCGTTCGAAAACACCCTCAGCTCGGCCTTACGGAAAGCATCCTCTACAGGGCCGGCCGGTCCAGAGTCGAGGCCCGAGAAGACAACCTGACACTCTGCAAAGTGCTCGGGCTTGCACTCAAAGACCTGCATATCCGCAACATTGCTGGGAACTCGGCGGATCTGCTTCCATCTTCCCTCTACTGCTTTGGCATACTTCTTGCCCGCCGACGAAGACGATGCACCCAAAGCAGCAAGTTCGAATCGTGGGTGGTCGGCCAGCTGGAGGATGAATCGCTGACCAACGGTACCGGTGGCGCCGAGCAAGCCAACCTTGAGCTTTTGCGAAGATGAAGACATTACGAATTGTTATTGCGAGATACGCGTGTGTGCGTCTGCAATCGAAGTTATGAAGGGTGATGATGGTGTTGAGAAGGAAGATCAGAGTGGAGAGCGGTCTCGTGCATAATTCCGCCATAAAATACCACAGTTCCCTCACCGCATGCACCTTGCTCCCACAATCTTCCAATCCGTGCGTCGAGTCACTTTTGGTCCCCAATTTGTCACCTCTCTCAAACAGTTGCAGATGTAACATCTCCGGATAATTTTTCTTGCAAATAGAAGGCGATGGGATCAAACTCACAAAGCATGCCACTGTGCAGAACAGTACAGTACAGTACAGTACAGTACAGTACAAGAGAGGGCAGAACAGTCTCTATTCTCGCCCGCATCGAAAATGGCGATACAAATACAATGTCGGCTGTAGAGTGTGTGTGATTGATCAAGCAGTGGCAGCCATGGCAAGCGGTTTTTGTGTAGGCGCCGTTGCTGTCAAGCCTTCATATTGGCCAAAATCTCTTGGTAGGGCTGCACCAACGACGTGAGGTTGCGTGGTCTCGCAAGAATTTGCAGCACTTGGCCGCACAAGTGCCTTTTCTCGAACCCTAGAATCATTGGCTCCCACGCTTGCTCTTGCTCCTTCTCTGGCTTGTAGTAGATCGGACCAATCAACGACTTGATCAGGTCTTCCGCCTGATTTTTGATGCCCTCCTCCGCAATGCGCTTGGCATAGGCCATCAAGTAGTTTTTGTACTCGTTGGCACTATCGAGGATGGTAGCAGCCAGCATCCTCGCTTCCAGGTGACGCAGTGTCACGGCGATGACAAAGTCCGACTTTTTGTCTTCCGGTACGCTCATCTCGACCGGTGGCGTTTCATCGTCGTCCGACTCGTCCTGTGCGCCCACCTGGTTATCGCCATGCACGCGGCGGACGTACATCGTGTTGATCTCGGCTTCGATCGCGCGCACAGGGTCACGAATCGAAGCTTCGCTTCCGCGACTACGTGTGCGTCCGTCCCATGCTTCCGAGTGCTCCGCCCACCACCCATCGCTGATGCAGACCCAGCCGAGCTTGTTGTCATCGAACGTGTAGGCCTTTTCGGTGTGGAGGATGACGATAGGTGCGCCATTGGCGTGGACTGTCATGGAGAAGAGGTTCTCAGGGTCACCCAACAGATTGAGTACCGAGACTGGTCGGTGGATCTCACGATCTGTGCGAATGTTCCATCGGTACATGAGCCCCGAGACAGTGACGGCCATCAAGACGACACCGTTGCTCTCCAATCGGTAGCACGCCGAGTCGAGGAGTAAGTTGCCAAGCCTTCGACCTCTTGCCGAATAGATGAGCACGGTGGAATCTTCCAGTGCCACTGCAGAAAAGAAGGACGAAGTCGTGGCGAGTGCGGCAGCCGTCGGGCTAAAGTCGATCCAGAGCACGCGATCCTTGTCAGACGGGTCCAGCCTTGCAATCTCGGTCGGCCTCGACTCGTCAAAGTTGCGGATTTCGATCGAAACACCGTCTTCATCACGACGATAGATGCTCGACGTCTCGGGCACGACGAGATGAACGCCTTTACGCACTCCATTCTCGACGATGCCGCTTGCTCCTGCCAATGCCTCCCTGAGGACCTTCTTCGGACCTGGTGGGTCACGAGGAGTCTCGCCTCCCAGCGTTCGACCAATGTCTGCCCTTGTTCTTCCCTTCTGCAGCTTGCCGATGGGCTCGATATCCTCCGAGTCGGTCTCAACTTCTTCGACTTTGCGCTTCTTACCTCGCATGAAGCGTTGTTGGAACTCGGTCCAGAATTGCATCATGTCCTCGGGACTGGCACCTTCAGGCATGATGCCAAAGGGTAGACCCACTGGTACGTAGGGCATCATCGATGCAGCAGCCCCCGCCGGCACAGCCACTGCAGGCATCGAGGTGGGGGCAGTCGCAGCAGCACTGTGGAAGCTTCCGTTGGCCGTATTTGCGTGGATGCCATTGACACTTGGTCCAGCCCCAAAGCCGTCCGTGGTGGTTCCTCCGACAGCCTCACGCATGGCTGGAAGCTGATGGTGCTGGATGGTCGGCATCGAACCGTGTGAAGGTGATGTTGTTGTTGCTGGCTCGGGAGCGTAATGCGCAGCGGGTGCTGGTGCAGGATCGAGATCGTCGCCGATGAGTGTAGGTCGAATGCGACGCTTGCCGTCCTTGGTTATGGTGATGGTCTGCTGAAGACGTTGGGTCTTGGTGGCCGCGGGACGGACAGGAGCCACGCTGCCGGCGACAGGCACAGGCGCTACTGACAGTCGTGCTGCCTGCGGTTGGCCAGCCTTGCGTGGCTGAAGCACGTTGGGACGATCGGAGGTGCCGACGGTCAAAGCAGCGTTGGAATTTGCGAGGGCATTTCGGATGCGCTTGACACCATGCTTGGCTCTCGATTGCTCGAGTCGGTCGGCGCTCAAAGCGTCCGAGATAAGTTCAGGGCACAATTGAAAGACAGCAACCGTTCCGTCCGAAGAGCAGCCGTAGAGGGTGTAGCCATCGGCTGACCATGAGAGATCCATGACTTGACGTTCAAACACATCCCTAGCCACGAGCACCGGCGATTCGAGACCAGTCACCCAAATAGAGACTGACTGGTCGAGAGAGCCAAGGGCGACTACGCAGGAATGTGTGCCGCCGTCAAAACCAACAAAGATCTTGGGGCTGAAGGCGGTGACCACGACGGCGTTTTCGTGACCGACAAAGAAGATGTCGCCGACCCAGACGTTTCTCTTGGAGACGCTGGCAACAAAGACGGGACCGCTCATGGCATTGGCGCAGAGGAGCAAGCTGCCATCGGGGGACCAACTTGGACGGCGGAAAAAGGCTGTCGAGGGACTGGTGAGGAAAGGATCCGTGATGGACTGCTCGAGGCCCCAGTCGGATGTGCGCCACACTTTGACCGTCTTGTCATCGGAGGCCGTGGCAAGATACTGGCCGAGTGGGTCGAAAACCACACCTTTGACGAAACCCTGGTGACCGTCGATGGTGCGTAGTCGCTCAAACGTGGCACCGGACCAGATAAAGACTTTGGAATCAAGGCCAACGGTGGCGATGAATTCGTCATCTTCGGCCCATGCCAAGTCTACGACATCGGATTCGTGCCCTGCTAGACGGCGATATGGCCTCCAGCTCTCGATGTTGACTTCGCTGGATCCGAAACTGCCTCCGCCCATGCCGCTTGGGTCGAGATCCCAGATGAGAGCCACTGTGTCATCGGAACCAGAGGCGAGGAAGCGGCCTGAGTTGGCCCATCTTACCACAAGGACACTGCCTGTGTGTCTTGAAAGTGTGGATAGGAGTCGATGAGCGTTGCTATCTTTCTCATGCGTTTCGTTGAGGATAGCGGCGGTAGACCAGATGCGGATCTTGGTGTCGAGACCAGCCGTGGCTAGGCGGCTAGAGTCGGGATGAACGGCAACGCTGAATATGGTCGACTTTGCCTTTTTTTCTTCGTTGTGGTGAGTGACCCAATCAGGGAGGATGATCGACATGGCTGCCGTTGCTGCTTGAGCGGCAGCAGAAAGCCGGGGTATCGGAGCGAGCCGATCAGCTCGTCAGGAGATGTTGCAAAAGGCGAGTGAGAGTA